ACAATCCGGATGAAGAAGGGGCTTCTGTTCTTAAAAATGGGCCATCAGGGGTTTTCGATGTCCCCGGGAGAGATGGAAAGTTCTGGTTATAGTCAGTTCTGCGGAAACCAGGAGGAGTTGAAACTTCCTTTTTTCCATCACTCCTTGATTTGGGCAAACTGATTTGGGGTTCCTTATCTGCAACTTTCCGCGAACGGATGCGTTTTCGTTTCCGTACAGAACCTTCCGGAAAACTGAAAGAAACTCCCTCCTCAGCCAAGTCAGAGTCAGACTCGTCATCAGACAAAACAGCGAAGGGATTTTTGTCGTTGGTTGATGGTGTGGCTGTTTTTAGCATTGCTGCAAAAGACTGCCTGGAACGCTCCTTAAGAGAGCGTTCTAGTTTCTCCCCGCGTTGTTTGTACGCCGGGCACGATGAGAGACCATGAGGAGTTCCCTTACAGTACACGCATTTTGGTGCAGTGACTGTGCAGGCGCCATCCTCGTGCTTCTCCCCGCATTTGGAACAGCGTGCCTTGCTGCCACAGTGAGAGGCCGTATGTCCCAACTGTTTGCAGTTTTGGCAGTTCATGACCCGAGGAACAAACAAACGCACAGGTAGCCGAAGTTTTCCCAACTCAATGTAGTGAGGAAGGGCTGAACCAGAAAAGGTCACCCGAAACGAGTCTGTGGGGGTAAAGCTCTTTTTACCCTCGCTGAAAGATACTGAGTTCAGCTTCTGGACTTCCAGTATCTCAACCGTGGGAAGCAAGGGGTTCTTGAAACGGCCAACCGCTTGCTTCGCCAAGATCTCGGGGGTCAGACTCGCTTCGGTGACCACACCTTCGATCTCCACATTACGAGCTGGGATGTACACTCTATACTCGAGTGTAAAGAGCTGGGAGGCAGCAATCTCGTTAGCTTGTTTCAGGTTAGAGACGACAACGCGAAGTTTATTGTACCTCACCTTCGAGATTTCGGTCACGGCCGAGAACCGCTTCGTCAGATCATTAGTAATTTGCATTACATTCAAAGGTTTCTTTTTGGGCTGAAAGTAAACAACCCATGGGCCAGTCGAGTCTTCTGGGTAGGCTCGCGATCGGGGGCTTATCTGTCCCTGTCCATTACCAGACTGAGATGACGAAGCAGGGATGGCATCATCTGATTTCTGGGATGACAGACGTTTTCGACCCTTCTTGCTATCGCGTGGCAAAGTGGTGTCATCTTCCGACAAAACGTCCATTTCGTCTTCCGACAAAATGTCCATTTTGCCGTACTAGTGGGAGCGAAAAACGCTCTACCACTACAACGATAATCAAAATTACTCGGACACAATACACGAAGAAAAAAAAATACTAACACAGAAACACAAACTTAAAATTTAACAGATGGGAGAAAGAAAGAAACAAGAACAAAAACTTATCTGATAATCCTATACTACTATCACCGAGCGTTTACACAGCAGTAGCGGAGCGACGCGCAGCTTTGATGATCTTCGATCAGCGTGTGCGGGCGGTCTTCGTTGGTGTGTGCTTATGTGAGGGTCGGCACTCAGCTGAACACACGATGATGGATGAGCGGTTTAAATGTGGAGGCAGATGCTGACACTCGATGACGATGATCCGTGTGCAGGTATGCGTTACCACGCACCGATGGTGCGCAAAATGGTTGGCGAATTGGCAATCGCAAAAACAATTTTCGATGATGCCGAAAACACACTTTCTTCTCAGAAAAAAAAAACTCACTTTTTGATAAATTTATCGAGAATTATGCCAGGAATCACTAAGCGAGAAAAACTGATTATTTACGTCAGATAATAGCGAGAAAACTTCCAAATTAACGGAGCGCGAAATAAGTCGACCGTACTTCTTGCTAGGACGCAGTGAGGGGATGGCTTCGAGATGTCTCCTGCAAAGTATTCAACCATGCACTGTTGCAAGGTTATCCGTCATAAAAACTGGCATTTAGAAGGGGCTAAGATATTGTTGGGGGACTCCGTTATCCCTAAGACCAAGTCTACAAGAATCTTGGGCGTTCTTTTTGACAGGAACTGTAAATTTAATATACATACGAAGCAACTTAAAGAGGATTGCAGAAGCCGTCTGAACTTGTTAAGAGCTATTTCGAAAAAAGCAGACCGTAAGACCCTTCTTTACATAGGAAATGCAACAATAACATCAAAACTTTTCTATGGTATGGAAATTCTCAGGAAAGAGAACCTCAAAAACCTTGCCCCGATCTACAACCAAATTCTAAGAATCGCTTCAGGTGCCCTTGGTACCAGCCCTATCTTGCCTCTGGCCGTGGAATCGGGATATTTACCTTGCCAGTACAAGGTCATCCTGTCACTAATTAGGAAATCATGTTCCGTGCTAGAAAAACTACCTAACGAGTCCAACGGTTTATGGAAAAGAGCCAACACTGCCTTCCAACACCTTACGGGTAAATCGCTTCCGCCATTGAAAAAACTCATAACTATTCAGCATAGACCTTGGCACAAACGGAAACCACCAATCGATTGGACAATCAAAGCGAAAGTCAAAGCAGGACAGACGCCTCAGCTAACAAGGGAATCTTTTCGTGAGTTAGTAGATCACAAATACCAAGAGCACAACCGATGGCTGATGGTAAAGTTGGTTTCGGTGTAATTGGTCCTACAACTAGAATTGAAGCTAGTCTTCCTGAACAATGCTCAGTTTTCACTGCTGAAGCTGCAGCTTTGTTATGGGCAACTCGTGAAGCAAATGGCAAGTCCGTTATATTTAGCGACTCTGCTAGTTACCTACAAGCACTAGAAGCAGGAAAGTCCAAGAACCCGTATGTTCAAGCTATCGAGAGGGAAGCAGAAGAAACGGATATTTGCTACTGCTGGATTCCCGGTCACTCGAAAATAACCGGAAATGAAGATGCTGACAGAGTAGCAAATAAAGGTCGACAGCGAGAGAAAGCTGCAAACAATGTTCCAACACACGATATTATCGAATGGAGTAAAAGTGAAATATGGAAAATACATCAGTCAACTTGGGATGGATCAGCAAGAAATATAACTAGGATTGTTAAACCAACAGTTTTTGGATGGATGGACCAGAAGGATAGAAGAGACCAAATAGTTCTTACGAGGCTTCGACTCGGACACACCTGGCTAACAAAACACCATTTGTTCGAAAGGAAACCGCAAGAAGTTTGCAATACCTGTAACAGGGACCAAACTGTTCATCATATCCTCATCGGCTGTCAGCAGTTCAACTCACAGCATCACGAAGTGGGTTTTCCCGACGACGTAGAATTTGTATTAAGAAACAATAAGGATGCGGAAGTGAAAGTAATAAGTTTTTTTAAATAAATTAGAATGTATAAGAAAATTTGAAATGTATATATTTTGTGAACAATAATTATTAAATTTTCAGAGACGAATGCCCTTGAAGGGTAAAGTCTCTTTAAACAAAACAAAAAAAAAACTCATGGCATCAACACAATACAAATGCGTACAATCTCTTCTTCAGATGCTAACGCCCAAAATGAGCCTTCCCCTGACTTAAAAAAAACGTTGAACGACACACAGGTATCAACCTTATTGAATCGGATAAACCATTTCGAAAAAAAGCTTGCCTAGATGAAACGCGTCCACAGATGCACATACAGACATCAGCAAATTTCATCTTGCCGGGTCGATTTTTCACATTCAATTTGATTCTACGATGTCGTAATCAAACTGTCGAGCCAGATCGAGCCGAGTTCTATCGGTTGGGAATGTTTTATGCAGGTGAGATAGCTTGTGTGGATGGCTATCGGTCACAGACGGCAAGACGTGTGACATCCGATTCTAATACCTATATTATGGTAGTAAAAAAGGTAAAACGACGATTTGAAAGACGGCAACGCAAATCGCTTTGAGAATACAAACCCTTTGTAAACAAGCTCGCCACATTGTTGTAAAAGTGAAGTTAGTTTTCGTTTGTAGTTCTCTATCGTATATATGTCGTTTAACAACCGGAATTTTAAGGTTCAACTTATGAGCCTTTTTACATCCGGTCTACCTTCAAGTTGCTGTTCCTATTAAATCTCAATAGGCAAAAAACGTTCCCATATCCAGCAGACATCAAAACCACAAAGTCATCAGCCCCGTAATTCAATCCCAATGAATAGCAAATCCTGACAACAATCTGACAAGTGACCACTTTCCGGATCACAACAGCACCTTCAACCACTGGCTCAGAGCAATGGGCAGCAATTGCCATCACATCATCTCCCATTCCATTATCCAGCCATCTGGATCGATGGCCGGTGCTAAATTGATACTAGATTGGCACTAACGTCGTTACGTTTTCCGACTGTACACATTTCAATCCGAAGCTGTCCGTTCCGGGGGATCAACTGAACGAAGTTCAATGACTCCGCTTTCCTTGTTATCGAATTTTCACTTTTCCTAATACATAGCTAGAATGAGTCAGGGCGATTTTCCAATCATTTTGCACGACCAATGAGAGTAACTAAAAATTGAGTCCAATTTGACTCATAATTGCAAAACTTTGAGCTACCCGGTTAATGGAGAAACATTTTCATAGATTTTCCAGGAAAAACTTCTTGAATACGAGGAAAATAGGGAGACATTTCACTCCGTCTATTAAAATACTCCTCGAGCAGTGTTCCCGGTAAAGCGAGGAACATTTTACTCACTCACTGGGTAACTCCACTTTTTGCAACTTTGAGTGGAATTCGAATCGTGAAAACCATCGACTCAGCAATTTTCCGGCGAATAATTTCTCCTCCGCAAAACATCTAGGTATTTTCAGGCTCCAATTACCGAAATTCCATCGCATCAGGCGAAATGTAATACATCAAAAAACCGAAATTAATTAAATTATTCACAGTGACTTAAACCAGTTCGCAATTTCCGCTCTGTCTCTCTTTTCATGCAAATTTCCCATCTGACATCATCGTTGCGCCATCTGTGTGGGGCCGGTCGAACTACCCAACAACGATAACGATGTGGACGACGATGACGACGACGACAACAACAGATGTGGATCTATTCGCTCGGTGTAACACTGCAGAAAACTATTTCATCATTCTCGGTCAACTATCAGCAGCGATCCAGCGGCAGCAGTAGTGGTGGAAACGATGGTGACGCAGCAACTGGACGACGCAGTGCCGGATCGTCGGACGAGGACGGGCTGACCGCTCTGGACCACGTGATCCTGGCCATGTGCGAAGCGAACCTGTACAAGCGGGCCAGTCTCATGTTTCTGCTGGATGTAAGTATTGCCATGGACTATTTTTTTTTCTTCTTCTTCTTCATCCTCCAAACGAGTTGGATTTTGATAGCTGCACACTGTATCCACCGAAAGGGAAGATGGTTGAGAAATGCCAACATTCTTCACGAAATGTAGTAGAGGGCTTTTGTTTGCTACCTCGGTTCCATAGAATTGAATTATATTTTGCTAAACTCGATCCTGTGGAGCCCGGAGGGGAAATCCTGACACAACAACAAAAACAGCATTATAGAAGTGATGGCATAACGAGAGGGCTTTCAGGGATTTTTTCCAACCATACTTCACCGAGAGGATGCATCTATACCGACCGACCGACGGTGAGCGTATGGAATAAATGCATTTTGTGCTGCATGGTTCACTTTTTTCTTATTTAGGTATTCATTCGAGGCACCGAATCGTGAAAATGCATTGCACTACTACCGTTGCTGGGTGAAAGCTACACTCACAAGAAGGTGAAGGCATTAGGTCGGATTGTGTGGTCGCTTTTCAATTTGGGAAATGAGAGGAAAATGTAACAGTGTTTTGTGCTTCTTTCGCTTTGTTTCTAGAAAATCAGGATGTGAAAGGATAATCGTATCATTACGCGGGGGGTTTCGAAGGAAGCGCATTGCTTGTTGTGTACTTTAGGGAAAGTTTTATTCTATGAATTTTACACATTCGGGTATAGCTTAAAGAGCATCTTCTCAGAAGCATCGTATTCAATGTTTTTCAAAGCTATATCTTTTGTGTGTGTAGGAAAACTTTGCTTGATGAACTTTGCGACCTCCGGTTCGCAAATGCTCCATCGATTCTTTTGGATTTCTCCTAATCCCTAAAGGATTTTCAATCATTTTTCTCTAGCAACACATCGAAACGAAGACTGATTATCAATATGATAAAACAAATTTGAATAGCAGAACAATCGGGAATCTTTGGAAGTTTATTTCTGCCTATATTTATACTGGATCGTGATTTTGTGATGCGACTGTCGTGATGCCGTCAAGTAGAAAAATAATGAACTGCCCAAGTAACAAATCAAGCTAAATAGTTAGAACAGAAGCTGGTTATTGCTTGATTTCAGGTGAATAAAGCTGTTTAATACCAGACTGAATATTTATATAGTTGATTAGTAGTGCATAACGCCCCAAAATTTTGTTGACGACGCTTCTTTCTGCGGATGATGTACACTGTGGGGTAATACTGGCAGCACTGCTGCGAAGATCATAATAAAATCAAACCTATCTATTGTTTGTCCAAGTTCACTCAAAACGCAGTACAGAAGCATAATTTGTTGAGTGTTTATAATTTGGTTTATTCACGGTACCTGAATATTCCCACTGCCTATTACGCCAATAGGTTATGGGCCCAGTGAGTAACACAAAACCGCGAACGTCAAAAGTGCCGGTAGACGAGGTGATCTTGTGCTGAGAAAGACTTTTGCATTTGGTTGCACAGCAACACAAGTTGCAGCTGTAAGATGGCGGAGAAATTCAATTTCCCGAAGCTGACGACCGGCAACTGGATAACCTGAAAATTTCGAATGGAACAGTTGCTGACGCGGGAGGAGATTTGGTGGGTCATCGAAGAAGCAAAGCCGGAACCTGTGACGGATCGATGGAAAAAGGACGACTTGAAGGCGAAAGCAACCATTGGACTTTGCGTTGAAGAAACCCAAATCGGTCTGATCCGAAATGCTGTGAGTGCCCGTGCGCGCTGGAATGCCCTGAAGGAGCATTATGAGAAGAATACAGTGACATCGCGTGTATCTCTTCTGAAGAGGCTGTGCTGCAAAAATCTGGATGAAGAGGGAAGTATGGTCAATAGACTGATGCAAAATTTGAAATTTTCGCTCCACATTGCTCAAATGGTTCCAAATTGGGTCTTGATTAGCCTCCCAAAATTTGAACTACTTTAGTAAGAAACTGACTTGGCACAAACCATTTCAAGTTTATATGGGAATTACTATTGGAGAACTTATGTTTTTGTTGATATCTATTTAACAATTCCACATCATTATGCTTTTAAAAATGATAGCAGCGATTGTAGAAAATTTTCTCAGCTACATCTTTGTTGAAAACCACTTTTCAATCAAATGTAAGGAACAAAAGTTATTAATGATTCAAGTCACTGATGTCTTATGATTATGCTCATTCAACTGTTCAGCAGGCAACATTGGTGGTTCTGGTGCGAAGAATAGAGCACAAATATCATGGCTACTATGTCACACTGCAGAATCCAGTGTTGCCCACAAAACAGCTGCTTGATCATGCCATAAGATTATCAATCTATTAAACAATTAATAACTATTTAATTTGACATTTGACTGAAAAACGATATTTCGCAAAGTTGTAGCTTAGAAAATTTTCCGTAAGAATAAATATAGAACTTTTCGAAAAAGCAATATGGAAAATGGGTAGAAGACAATGAACAAAAAGTTTAGATTTCCCATAGCAATTTCCATAAAAACTTCGAATGGTTTGTGCCAAGTCAGTTTTTTACCAAATGAGTTTAAATTTTGGGAGGCTAATCAGGACCTGATTTGAAACCGTTTGAGCAGTGTGGAGCAAAAATTTCAAATTTTCCATCAGTCTAATGGCAGACCCTCTTCACTCTTTGGAATTTATAGAGACAGATAATAGCGCCAAACGGTTTGTGACGAGACAACGTTGAACTGCTGCGTTGAAAGAAAACACGCACACCAACATGCATACATGTACGAACCCACACAACTGAGCGGACGATACAGTGCAAATCAATACACGAAGCGGTGTCATCACTCATCGCCATCATTCAGCTTTGGCTACTCCCGTTTGCGTTTGTTTTCACCGGCGTTGTCAAATACTTCCTTCGTTATAAAATAGGAAAGTAATGTTTATTCCAACGTAATGTTTGAATGGAAGGCGTGTTGCGTTGGCCAAAGAAGACGGCTTATTTTATTACGTTTAGCAATGATTTCGATTCGTTGCATTTCCAGTAGCTACCCTAGCTATTGGAATAATTCTGTAGAGAAAGGGTTTCCTATGTTTACTTCTATGCTTATTAAGATTATGTTGAACAACAGCTCCATAAATCATCAATTACTATTAGAGTTGCTTCTTACTGATACCAGTGGTATATCGGAAACTCTTTCGCTCGAAAGCAAAACATATTACAAGCACATCATGATGTGCGCTTGGATATGTGATTGTCTTCTCAAGTGTTTCTGTTGCGTATAAAGTGGTAATGATTGAAAATCGAAGCAATCACAAGCAGGCTTACCATATCAAAAACTTGAAAAGGAGGACATTTCATTTGAGGTTTGGAGATTAAGGAGGACAATGATTCCTTTTCTTAACATTAAAGGAGGACAATGAGTTTTTATCAAACGTTTTAATAATATGTGCGCTATCACAAAATTCATGATTTGCTAAGGTTCAATTGAGACGGTTCATAACTTGTGGTAGATATCAATTTAATTCATGAAATGAAAACTGCAGCTTTACAGCCTTAAAACCATCCCAGCCTTTATCATGTACAAAAATCAGGATACATGTCATCGCTGATTGAAACCAACATTGAACATCAAAGCAACCTGTTAAATTTACCAGAGAGTTTATCGAACATTATAATTTATTTTCGAAATGTCAAATTTAAGTAAAAATAAAGAAAATTGATGAATTTTCACTGACTCTTCGAAAATAATATATAATGTTCGAAAATCCGTCTGTTGTTGATCGTCCGATTTTCGAGAAATTGATTGTCAAAATTGATTCCTGGTTTGTCTGAAATATGCAGGTTTATTTAAAAAATTTCCATACGTCAAATTTAGGTTAAATTCACGAGATGGACAGCAACCTTGATCGTCTAAATGTGGGGAGTTGACAGCTGTAGTATACTCCTAGTCCCACCATCGAATGGCATTTGCTAGATAAGATAAAGTTGCGACATAATTAAACAAATAAGCTCTGCAAACAACGCTTTTTGAAAACAATTTTATTAATATGTTACTGGAAAAATGCAAGGATTAAAAACGAGGACATTTTTGGGCAAAAGGAGGACGTAGAAAAATTATTGAAAAAGAAGGACATGTCCTCCTTTAGGATACCATATGGCAACCCTAATCACAAACAAGTAAGAATCTTGCTATCGCAATATAACGATGATGACTTCGAGGATGATATCGTCCTCTTCCCTCGGCTGATCATCAACGTCCGCGTTGACATGTGTCATGCTGACACCTGTCAGTTATTGAGCCCTGGTGGTAAAGTTGGCGGGGAACTCCCAACAGTTTCAATGTGCCATCAACAGATAGCACTGAGATCAAATAAGGGTGGTAACTACATGCCTTGTATGAGGAATTGATTAGTGGGATATCTTGTTAATTAGATATCATTGCTAATAGTCAACCACTTTATGGAATTGGACGAGCTGTTCTATCGCCTCAGAGCTGCTTATCTGGAGGAGTTGGCAAAGGAGCTGAAGGTGACGATGATTCTGCGCAGCCTACCGGAATCGTACGACGGCCTAGTAGTTGCTCTAGAGGCTCGACCAGACGACGACATCACAATCGAGTTGGTGAAGCAAAAGTTGACAGATGAGTTTCAGAAGCGGGAAGATCAGCAAGGTGGTGCGTCGGGCGAAAATAAGGTGCTGCGCACGATTTCGTCCAAGAATGCCGAATCTAGGGGAATCGATTTTTATTGATGATGATGATGATGATGGTCCCACCTCTTACCCCTACAAAGGTTTGAGCTGGACGATTTATCTTTAAGATAATTAAATATAAACATTTTAACCAGGTTAGCAAACAAAAACGAGCTGGTTACAGTTACAGATATAAATTCCCTCTAGACTTTACAGTTGCTTCACAGCAATATACATAAATGTGAAAAAGCTTAGGCGTCCACCTCTTAGTTCGCCTTTTTGTCCACCTAGAATATTCATAAGTATTACAAGCAATCAAGAGTTAATGAACAATCAACAAAGCATCCTATACACTAGCAACCCCGCAATGATGCTATTAT